TCTGATTTGGCTCTGGTGGCCTCGGAGCCACTTTGCGACTCCATAGCTGGTAAGAACTGCCCGCCATGCAAGTGCTGTGTGTTGTCATGAGGTGACACTGTGTGGAATGGGACACTTCCTCTCCACATCAGTCCTCCTCATGTACATGCGTGCTCCTCCAGGCCTCCTTTTGTAGAGCTCAGCCGGATATACTCATTCTAGTTGGTTTTCAACCTGTGATTTTTTTTTTTTTAGCTTTGCCTTTTTGTTTTTTCACACGTCTATGTTCATATGTGTGGGGGGTGCATATGGAGGCCAGGGAGCGATGTTGGTTGTGTTCTTAAATCATTTGCAAGTTTACCACAGCAGTGTCTATTGCTGAACCCAAAGCTCACTAACCAGCTTGTCCCATGGATCCTCCTACCCCATGCTGGCTCTCCCCTTGCTGGGATTCAGGTTCTTCACCATACCCACAGGGTGTTTATGTGAGTGACGGGGATCCGAGCTCTGATCTCGTAATTGCACAGCAAATGATGTGTCCACTGAGCAAACTCCTCAGGAAAAGCTTAGGTCCATGTTCAGTTATTTCTGGGGCCCTTGCTGAGGTGACAACTGAAATAACATATCACAATGACCACCCATCCATCTGTTCACTGATTCACACTTCGTCCCCACTGTCACCGTCATCCCATAATATCCTCATGCCTGGCCAGCATCATCTGGGCTGTATGTGTGTGTGTGTGGGGGGGAGTTTGCAGTAAAATTGGAGGTGAAGGAAATTGCCTTGAATTGTGGTAACAAAGGGGATTAAAACAGCCTTGAAAATAATCAGCACAAAATCACTTGGGACATGAGCTTCCTCTCCCTCTAAAGGGGTAGGAAAACTGGTGGAGGGGCATAGCTCTCTGTCAGTAACTTGGTTTTCCTTTTGTGCGGTATATGGCCTTACAGTTCTCTAACTTAAACATGTACCAGGCCAGGGAATGGTTCTTTACTAGAAAGGAAAATGCATGAGCCAAAGACAGGGGCAGTGTCAACGACCAATAAGCAGTTTGGGCACAGGCACTCAAAGACATGAGGTGTCTCTAAGGATGGGGCACAGGTGTCTGTCCTTTTGGGTGATTTGGAGAGGACAGGAACTCTACAAAGAGAGCAACAAAACCAAAAAATCTGAGCACAGGGGTCTTTCCTGAGACTCATACTCCAACCAAGTACCATGCATGGAGATAACCTAGGACCCCTGCACGGATGTAGCCCATGGCAGTTCAGTGTCCAAGTGGGTTCCATAGTAATAGGAACAGGGACTGTCTCTGACATGAACTGATTGGCCTGCTCTTTGATCACCTCCTCCTGAGGGGGGAGCAGCCTTACCAGGCCACAGAAGGAGACAATGCAGCCATTCCTGATGAAACCTAATTGACTAGGATCAGAAGGAAGGAAAAGCAGACCTCCCCTATCAGTGGACTTGGGGAGGGACATGCATGCAGAGGGAGGAGGAAGGGAGTTATTGGGACAGGAGGAGGGAGGGAACCACAGGGGGGATACAAAGTGAATAAAGTATAATTAATAAAGAATTAAAAAATAAAAGATGCTGGAAAAAAAAAGTCTGAGAGGCAGGAGGACTACTAAGGCCCTGAGAAGCAGACTGTTCCCAAGCCTTCCTTTCAGGAAGGGCTTCAGCAGAGCTCAGCAGCGAGCACAGTGCCAATTACCACAGTTTCTATGGCCGTACACATACTCATTTTACTTAGGTTTGGAAAGAGGATCTTCTCATTCCTTTGACCAAATACTTGAAAAGAAGTAATTTAAAGGAAGAATGTCTGCTGTGGCTCACAGTCGAAGGGGATCATTCCATCATGGTGGGGAAGACATGGCAGCAGTGGAAGCCTGCTGGTCACGTTCCATCAGCACCCAAGAGGCAGAGAGTGAGCGGGAAATGGTGACTGTCTACAAGGCCTCAGAGCCCACCCCCAGTGACCCACTTCCTACAGCGAGGTTCCACTTCCTAAAGCTTCTACAACCTTCCCAAACAGCAACATCAGCCTTGGACCAAGTGTTCACATTCAGACCACAACAGAAAGCCAAGGCCTGTGCAGGCCCAATTGTTTTGAATATAATCACACTTTTTAGATACTTTGCCTCCTGTGATTTCGGGCTGAATAAATAAACAGAGGGAAGAATTTTAATCTGTTGACTTTAGCTTTATAATCTGAAGGCAGGAACCCTGTTTGTCATCATTCACTAGCACCCCAAGTGACCACGGCAGACACACCTGCCTAGTGAGGAAAGACTAGCTAACCATTGAATTAGCAACTAAAGCCACATTCTGAGATGTCGAAGGCTCATTTCCCTCTTCCTAAAGAAAAGCAGGCTGCCTGCTGCTTATAATACTGTAAGGTAGTGAGCTCAATCCCATTTTTTTGTCTGTTGTCTGTGAGACAGTGTCGCACATAGCAGAAGCAGGCTTGAACTCGCTGTGTAGCTGAGGTTGACCTTGAATTCCTGATCCTCTTCCCTCCACCTAAAAGTGTTGGGTTACATGTGTGTGCCACCAAACCCAGATCATTTGTTGTTATTTTTAAAAATTTGTGTTCTAAATGTGTGTTCATTGTATTAGCATTTTAGAGTAGGTTGATAAAACCACAACAAATCCTTAAGAGTGGGTCAGTGAGATCATTCAGACACTCTGGCATCTTACACACTTAGAATCGTTTTCTAGTAGAAGGAAGAGAGAAGGATGTGTCTCAGTTTGGTTAAGTGCAAGGCTGAGGACTTAGATCCTCGACTTGCCATCTCTCATTCAGCCATTTTCACCATGTCCCAAGGGCTCAATAACTGCGTGTCCTACATAAACATGCCCATTTAGCCCAAAGGGCATTTTTGGTTATAATAGTTAGGGAAAGTTCCCCCAAATCTTCCCTCAAATTTTCAAATCTCACCTATTCTTAGACCGCATTGGCTAGGAGTATGCATCTGCAGAGGAAAGTCTCTCTGATGGGCTTGGATCAGTCCCATCTTCCCCTGGGCTGGAAAGGGACCCTGTGTAGAACACGTAAGCCACCACACTGCCATAACATCTATGCTTTCTGCCTGCCACTTAGGAAGAAAAGGCTTTAGCAAATTAACAGACATCAATGTCTAATGTATAAAAACTCACTCTTTACTTCATGTCCTTCCGTTTCAGTCATGGATCCCATTTATCACTGCTTGGGATATGTGGCTATGCCCTGCATAGTGCTTCTTGGGCTCCTATTTCAGCACAGCGTGGTCAGCAGCTCAACAACTCGATGGATAGTGGTGACCTTGGGTTCCCCATGGTAACTCACCATGTGGGTAGGGCAGCTTTCTCTGGGCTGCTTTAGCCCTGGCTCTTCCTGTAACCCCTTGACCCACCGCCTTTCCCACAGAAGCGTTGCTGTGCCCCTCACCATATCGATGAGAGAATCAGGACTCATGCCCTATTGCCCTGCTACATTTTCATAGCAGGGCCTTCTTTTTATATTAGGGCTAGGTGTGGTCATGCTCACACAATCCCAGCACTCCGGAGATAGACACAGGAGACAGAGGATTCTAGGCCAGCCGGGGATAGGAAGAGTTCCTGGCCTCTCTAACTGACACAGCAAGACCTGTCTCTGAAACAAAACAAAAAAACTGTAGTGTGCAAACTGAGTAGAAAATCCTACGGGAGGTGTGAACTGAGTAGTGGGAAATTGTATGGGAGGTGTAAAGTGAGCAACTCACACTTTGTGCTTGCAGGGGCTGTTGTCCTCTGAGCAGAGCCCCAACAAGGGTTCACTCTTCAAAAGAGTTCCTTTCCCCAACACTTGACCTCAAAGCCCCAAGATTCCCTAAGCTGTTGATCCCAGATATTGGGGGAACAGACTAAAATATTCAAAATACATAGCTCCCACCAGCTCCAAGGCTATTTGCATTTTTCATTAAAAAAAAAAGTCTTTATCAATCTGTTACTAGTATTTAAAATAATGGGCCTGCCCATTGTCCCACGGGTCAACCAGATGTCCAAAACTGCCTCAGACTACAAAGGAGTTCTGGTTTACATGTCTATTTTTTTCAATTGCTTCTGTGGCACTTGTTCTCAAATGCTATCTAAAACATCCTCAAACCCTTTTCGGAATGACTCCTCGAAACATCTTCTAGGATTCCCTCTCCCCTACATGCACACCTGATCTCCCTGGGGAGGGGCCTCCTTGGGAATTCTCTTTCTATCTCTTTGGCATCCTGCCTGGTAGCAGTCTTAGTGCTGTTAGTCACTTGCCAAAGAGTTGAATGATGGCAAGGGAAAGGCCAGCAGTAGATAATCTGTTCACTGACACAGTCCTCTGAATCACTTAAACGATACTCATAGATGTACTTAACAGTCTGTTTAGTAGTTGGCCAATCTTTAATACTTTGTTTTTTAAATTGTGATAATTCAGGAGGCAGCACATTTTTTTTTCTGGAGTTTTATCCATGTCTATTTTAAAAAACATCTTTCATATCATTGTCTTCGCAAGTCTTCAGAATATAAAATTTGCCCAAGAATGAATAGCTCTTGTGGTTTGGATATAAAGGGATCCCAAAGGTTGGTGTGTTGAAGCCTTGGTCTCCAACTGGCCATGCTGTTTGAGAAGTGATTAAATCGGAAAGGTTTAGTTAACTTTAATTTCAAACCAGAACTGATCTGTGCGTGAGTTCATGACCGAATGGGCTGTTAGGAGGTAGGGACTGGTTGGAGGAAGCTAGTCACTGGGGTGCGCCTTTGAGGGGTGTGCCTTCCCCCCAATCCTTGTTCTGTACTCCATTTCCCAACTGCCATGCTTAGAACAGCATCCTGAGCCAAAAGATAGCCTTCTGCTCTGGTGGTGTTTGTTGCAGATACACTGTTATGATGACAGAAATTGACTAACACAGCAACCTTACCTTGAGTCTGTTTTTTGAGAAGAGAAGTGAGCTTCACTGTTAACCTGCTCTCCAGACAGCCTGAGTTCTGCCTCTACTGACTTCCTTCCATCTGCCCACAGATCTGCCGACTTGAACGCCAGTTGTCCACTCAGCAGTACCAAGGAACCCTCTTTGCCAATCAGCCAAAGATATTCATCGCACCAGCCAGCAGCCCCCCCAGAGCCAAGCTGTGCGAACTGGTACGCCTGTGTGGTGGCCAAGTCAGCCCAGCCCCTCAGCTGGCCAGCCTCATCATTGGTCCCTACAGTGGCAAGAAGGAAGAAAGGATCCAGTACCTGTCAGAGAAATGGGTCTTAGGTAGGAACCCAGGTGGTGGGATACAAGCAGGAGGAACAGGGGAGGGTACTGCTGATCATGTGGCTCAGGGGCTCAAGGAGAGGTAATTGCAGTGGGCCTCACCCTTAGCACATGTAGGAAATCTGCTCACTCAGAGCCACCCCAGCCTCAAGTTGTAAGCACAGATGACCTGGGTACACTGGCTGGCTTGGATTCTATAGGCACCTGCAGCAGGTGCTACCTGAGATTCCCAGCGAGGAAAAAATACTAGATGCCTGGCAGTAGGAAGTGTGATGGCGACAGACGGGCTTTACCAGTTATTCCATTGTGGAGGATTGCAGGACTCTCAGGAGGAGAAGGGCCATTCAGCCAGGAGTGAGCATTCTCAGGCGAGTCCTTCCTCTCCTCCACCTTTCCCCTCCTCTACCTTACCTTCTCCCTTCCCCCTCCATTCCCCCTCCTCTCCTCTTCTGTCCTTCTCCTCCTTCCCTCCTTTTATGCTGAACACCTTACAATGGGCTCATCCCAGACAGGATGAACTTAGGACTCAGCTTTGAAGATAAATTTTAAATCTTCATCCCTGAGATTTTGACAAATGTATTAGTTTGGTGGGACTAAGTCCTGCAGACCAGGCAGCTGAAATAGTCATTTTCTCACCATCATAGAATCTAGAAGGCCAATGGCAAGGTAGGTTCTGGCAGACATCCTATGGCCTTTCCTTGGATTTGCAGGTAACATCCCTCCCCTATGTGACTTCTTTCTCTGAGTCCACACTTCCCCCTTAAAGACGCTGGTGAGACTGGTTGAACCCTACTGGGACCTAATTTTACATTACTGTCTTCCTGGGTCCTGTCTCCAAATACATTACATTCTAAGTTGCTGGGAGTTGGGGCGTAAACATAGGAATTTTGAGAGGCCTCAGCTCCAGTCTAACAATGGATTACCCAACTTGCAGGTCCTTACCTGGTTCCTTCTGAGCGCTCTCTCTCTCTCTCTCTCTCTCTCTCTCTCTCTCTCTCTCTCTCGTGAGTATCTCCCTTCTTTCTGCCTTTCCCTCTCCCCTTCTCCCCTGTGGTTGAGGTCCCAATTATTTCCTCCTCTCCTCCCTCCTCTCCTATCTTCCTCCTGCTCCCCTCCCTGACCCACTCCCTTCCTCCATCCCTCTCTAGTCCTCTCCTCTATCTTTCTGTCCCTCTTTTCCCTCTTCTTCTCTTTCCCTTTCTCTCCTGAGGCTGAGGTCCTTACTGGGTCCTTCAGAACTGTCTTGCCCCTTATGTGTCCATCTCTTTCCCTTTCGCCCTCTTGCCCTTCTAGCTTCACCTTCTTCCTGGGTTTATTCAGACCGCTCCCCTACTTTACCCTCATCTCTAAATCCCAATGTTCTGGTTTCTCTCACTGTCTTTTTGACATTCTTCTTGAATAGATAAATAGATAAAAGGTACATTCACACAGAAACTCATACATTTTATGAATATGTTTTCAATGATTGATGATTATCCCTGTACATTTTCAAATAAGGCAATCAAAAGTACTTTTTACTATCTGCTACAGAGCAATTTGTCTTTTGTTTAGAAACTATTTAAAAATAAAAAAAAAAAAAAATCTACCGTTCAGCTCTAGTCCCAAGCCAAGCCACTGTTTACTCTTCTGAATGCCAAGAATAGAACCTTCAGACATCCCATGTTCCGAGGCTGGGTTCTTGTTTGGTTTCTTGGAAAAGCGCATCAAACTGACAACCACTGCAGACCAGAACTGGCCTTTGAAAACAAGTCTGTACGTGGCTGGTATCAGCAGTCTGAAACAACAGCTAATGGTTCCAGGGTTCGGGAATTGTGGGCTGCTCAGGGACACAGCCTGAGCCTGCACTTCTGTTATTTCCAGGCTGGGTGACTGAAGGCCCTTCCTGTTGCTCCTGCGTCCTGTGCAGTCCCTGTCTCAGCCAGGCTGTTCTTCCGGTTGTTTTGTCAGTTGGCTCGAGCTGGGATTTTAGGGGATGACTGCCTACCTGTTGTTGTCTTCCCAAGGCCCCCTCCCCTGCAGCATTCTCTGCATGTCAGGGCTGGCTCAGGGACCCTGGTTTCTGCTTCTTTTCTCGCCCTAATTGACGTCCTGTTGCTGACCCGTCATTGATTACACCAGCTCCTGTGCCCTTGGCAGTATCCGGGTATTGTGTGTGTCTCAGGCCTGCCTGTGTGAGATGAGTCCCCATGGCTCGTGTGGACCCCCCAAACACACCAAGTCTTCCAACCTGAGCCATGTATCTTTCAAACACTAATTTGCTCAGTTCTTCTCTATCTGAGTTGAATTATAACCCAACAGCTGCTGTGGTGTGCACATAACAGACGCCTCCACGTTTGTACATCAAGCACAAGTGCACAGCACAGCAGGGTCCCAGGCTTGCTGTCCCCTCCAGGCTCTGTGCTGCCTTGGTCTTTTCCTGCCAGTGCAGGGTCCTAGGGTCATTCTGCCAAGGCGGGGGCAGGGGGGGAAGAAGAAGAGAAAGAGCAGAAATAATATATTCTTAAAGCATACTAAGAAAGACTAGAGATGCAGCTTGATGGCACTGCATTTGCCTAGCACGTACGAAGCCACAAGCCCAGCTCTAAAGTAAATGAGTAAATAGGAAAAATGAAGAATAAATAAGATAAAATAAAATTAACAAGAACTTTTAAGGCATGGGTTTGAAAAGGAAAATTATTTTGTGATATGCTGTGAAAGACAATATTCAGTGTTTATTAATTAGATTTATTCCCGCTGGAATAGGCAGTGTGAGTTTGGGTCAGAGAGAGTCTTGAGAGTGGTTTGGATAAAATGTTTATTTAAAAATGTTAAGAGCAGCTTTTTATATCCACTTTCAAATTTGTAAGTCGCCATCCAAGATGAATATGCCAGGGCTGAGTGTGGTGCACTTGGTTGGAGTATTATGATTTTATATTTATTCTTATAGTTGATGAGTTTCGTGTGAAACTGCTGAGAAATGCCTCAAAGAAAGTAAGTGTTTCTTAGAAGAATTTCTCCTAGCCTCAAGTCTGGCCAGCTGAGCATCCTGCCTTCCCGGCCATTGTGTGCGACTGACATAGGGCAAGAGCAAGTGCAGAATGTCACCCTGTGGAATTCAGCAGAAGGCATTTAATCCTTGCCTTACTCATGCGCACCACAGAGGGTGTCAGACGCCTTACAAGGAGTCCATGTTCCCTGTTCAATCCCTAGAGCCCATTTTCCCTGAAACAGCACTGTACTTGGGCCAACATTCTCTGTGAATCATTCAATCATGAGGAGAAATGGGGATTTTTGAGCAAGAACAACCCTGTGGGCACTTGCTTGTACATGAAAATCAACAAGAAAACAAACATCAAATTCCTGGTAGCAGGAACCAGGCACTGCTGGCCCTAATGCCAGTTACATGGATGCTATTTAAAACTGTTTTTTAATTGTTGGATTCTCCTAGGCACTCCCATGATATGTAGGTTCCTATATCAAAATCTCAGAGGTTCCGGGGTCTAAGCACCTTGACTGGTGAGAATACAGGTAGAGCTCTGCACTAGGAGCTGTCAAGATGTGTGACGTGGTGCTATGGTCATTGTTGATCACGCCATCCCCTCCCTTTGATGTTATCAAATAATATGGGTTTGGCCTTTCTCAGGAGGCTGCTTCCAGGCTCAGCCTCCCCTTAATTGTCTGGGATATGTTCATGAGATAAGACATGCATTTATGCTATTGTGGGGAGATAGTGTAGTATTCTCCACAGAGCTGCCAGAAAAAGAAAGTTTAGCCTTGATATGACTTCCACATAACTTACAAAAAACATTTGACTTGATTGTTCACCCATGTCAGAGCTCTCAGGAAAAAGGTCCCTGATAGCTTGGGGGCCTTCCCATGCTGGCCTAGGCTATTCATTGTGTCCCCCAATGGCTGACCAGCTAAGTGCATTAACTGTGACTTTCCATAGACAAAAAGGCTGCTTTGGAGGCCATGGACCTTGGGGATTCATAACTATATGGACACATGAGGACTGTCCAAGCCCACCTTGACCAGTATCTTCATAGAAAAGAACTAGTCACAGGAGGCTGAGGGTTTAGAAGAGAAACCAGAAGACTGGGAGGCCAGTGTGCACCTTGGCCTGCCCTTCTCTTCCCATGTGCTTAATTTATACTTGTCAAGGAACCCAGAACCAGCAAACCCCCCCAGTCACGCTGAGGGAAAGTAACGACCGAAGTATACACGATTGAAAACTAAGTGGTAGAATTGTGTAATTCTAACACCCAAAGCTGATGCGTGTGCCAACGTATCCTTGACAGGATTCTGTAAGTGGCTGCTGAGGTGGGTACTTTAGCTTCGGTTTGGGAAAAATAAGGAAAGAATGGACTCAGAAAAAAAAAATCCCTAAGCTCTCCCAGTAGTCCGTGTGATGTCCTTGAATTTTCCTAGTCAGCCAGGCTGCCCTCATCCAACTCAAGACAGTTCCTTCAGCCGCCCTCAGCATAAAATGCCACCTCAGAACCAAAAAATCTCCCATGTCATGAGCTCAGAGCAGAAATGATGTGAGCACAGCAGTGTTTCATATGTGTCAGAAGAAATGTGTGTGCTGTCTTGGGAAGCCACCGTGGCCATCAGCACTTTTGTGCTTGGTGTTTGTGATGTGACAGGCAGCTCTATAAAACTTGCTATAAAGATTAGACATTCACTAAGCCCCACAGCAGCCCCAGTCCCAAGCAATGCCCCCAGTGTATAAGAGCTGCCCCATGGCTCCCAGCATCCAATAAAAGGAACTTCAAAGCCTGACCTCCTAATGGGATGTTACTGATCATTTAGCCTGTCTTTGCTCACTGGCTTGGTTAATTGATGCTCTGGGTTATGGCTCAAAGGTAGTTTTCTTGTGGCTCTGGAGTACCTTAGGCTCTGGCTCCTTTTCTGTTGCCTCACAGGTAGTTAATATTAAACACCCTAGAACTTCAAGTGATGGAGATTCAAGCTTGTGATAAAGCCTGTCGGGAACTTAGAATACGAATGTATTTGGAGAT